CTAAATGCTTTATCGAGAAAAAGTTATAAAATTATCTGAATGAGGTGCTTATGTACAGTACCAGGATAGAGGGTGCATTAATGTAGGTGGAGAGTATAATGTCAAGGACAATTGAGTGAGGTATAAAAGACTGGAGCAAGCGAGAAAAGATCAGACCAATGCTTAGATGGGCAAACATCGAAACCCTGGAGGTCGAGTAATAGCTATAAGTGTCAGCGGATGGTATACATGTTTTGGAATTGATTTACCATCATTAGCTATTAAGTATTTTTGTGAAGCTTAGAAAGATAAATATTATAAATCTTAAGTTTAATGATATATTTACATGCTAATTGGTAAGCAATGCTAAGGATACATCATACACATGTAATTATTAGAGTAATACCAGCTAGCTATAGACCTAAATGTGCTTCAAATTGGTTTTTGATACACTGTGTTTGTGCCTGTTTCACAAAAGATAGGTCATCCTCTATATACACATATACAAGTACACATATGTATAATCTTGTTAGTATAAAACAGTTCTGTATCACTTATAATAATCAAAAATTAATCTTATTTGCAAGAAATATTCCATAGTTAAGCCATAATACGCTTTGAAAAAATAAAAGTAGATATAATTTGTTTTCAAATTCAATGACGAGGAACCCACTTTGAGACTAATAATAGTTGGAGATGGCTTGAATTAAGAAAAAAATCTTTAATATAAGTTTAACATAACAGCAACTGTACAACGTTTCGACAAGGTTTTGTCATCATCAGGTACACTAACTTTCTTTAAACACATAAATTCCATTCATCCCAACATCAAATTTACCATAGAATACGAAAACAATAAACAGCTATCTTTTCTTAACCTCAAAATTAGTAGATCGGACAAACAGTTTAAAACCAAAATTCACTGCAAGAACACACACATTGGACTCTACATCCCCTGGAATTCCGCTCATGACACCACACAAAAAATCAATACACTTAAAAACCTCATAAACAAAGCCATAAGACTCTGTTCAATGGACTACAAAAATGAAGAAATTAACCACATAAAGCATTCCTTTATTCACACCAATAAATTCCCACCAGCTATTGTTGAAAAACTCTCCAACATTCACAACAACAAAACTCAACTCACGAACAAAATTGATACTAACAAACCCAACAACAGTACATTACACTGCAGTTTACCTTTTGTTCCTGAAACCAGCTCAAGAATTATCCACACTTGGACTTAACTGGCCAGTATACACAATATTCCCGTCAACGTCAAATTCTCACAAAAACCCGGCTTTAAATTAAAATCGTTACTAAACATAAATTATTTAGAATTCCACAATACCAACGTCATTTACAAAATAACATGCAACAACTGCATAGAGTTCTACATCGGAGAAACAGGAAGAAAATTAGAAACCA